TTATTCCTACCATTTTTTCATATTAGTGGATGCCATTTACTAGTGCGTGACTTTTTTTTTCTTGCAAGGTCGAAATTCGAGGACGAATTTTCTTCAAGAAGAGGGGAATGATAGCATCCTAGGAAGCTCAAATCTATTCAAGGACAAGAATGAAGCTTTGGAATCTCAAATAGGGCCTTTAACAAGATGTCAAGCTAAAGAGTTGCAAAATAAGGTCATTAGACTTCAAGTGCAAATAAAGAAGTTGTTAATTGGGATGGAGAGCTCAAGGATAAAGGATATGAGTTGTCTAGGTGTTATAATTATTTTATGGTCCAAATTCATATCCAAGAAAAGGTGGATTAAATCTCAAAAGACATCCTCTGAAGAAGGTCTAAATCAGGCCACTATTGGACCTATTTGGAACCTAAAAATGTATTTAAACTTGCAGCCCAATAAGTCCTACATGAAGCCACATTTTTATAACATAAAAAGGACTTACTTGCTGCCCAAGAAAGGCTCAATAGGCGTGATAGAAGTTGGTTACAAGTTGGTGCCAAGTTGCTTGCAAGTTGCCTTCAAGATTTCCAAGATCCTATCCATGATTGGTTTGGGACTTTCAAGATTCTATCTTAGATTGGTTTTAACTTATTTCCATATATTTTGGTACTAGATTTATTACTTTCCTAGTTAGTTAAGGTTATATTTTCCTTTTCCTAAGATTGTTGGAATTACTTTCCAAGATTGACTTGGTTTTTGTTTCCTGGTATTTTTTCTTTTCCTAAGGAATTTGGACTTGTTGTCCAAAGTAATTTAGGACTTTATTTCCTTATTTTTAGGTAGGAATTTTGTGACCCCCTCTCTATATAAAGGGGTGTCTTCTTTGTTTTTAGATTTGAGATTAATATAGACAATATCAATAAAAATTGTGAGATTTTTCTTGCACTCTTGTGTGTGGCTACTCTTGGATTTATTCTTCAACCTTCAAGACTCAACTTAAGGTGGTAAGATTAAACTCTTTCGAAATCTTAGATCACTTTAGGTATTCAAGAAAGGTAATAAGTTTAGGCTTATTGTTGTTCTTATTATTCTAAAGGGTCGGGTTTCACAATCTATCTCTTGTTTTTAATTCTCTACCAAAGGCGATTAGTTCTTTGTTAGCTAACTGTTGTTGTTAGGATTCAACTTCAAGAATAGACTTCTTGAATTCAAGAAACTCTTTCTTGAATTCAATCTATCCTTAATTTTCTGTTGTTTTTTTGTTTCTTTATTTTCTTTTAGCTTCCGCATGTTTCTTGATTTTCTTTAGTAATTCTTGGACCCCTATCGTGTTGTTATCAGAACACCCTTAACGCCAATTGTTCAAATGATACAAAATTCATAAGAAGTAAGTCTTATAATTTTTTCCTAGATCACAACTTTATAAATACATGGTCATTCAAACAAATAAGAATACTTTTTTTTCATTTCTTCCTCAGCCTCCCAAGTAGCCTCTTCAACCTGTTAGTTTCGCCACAACACTTTCACGGAGGCAATTTCTTTATTTCTCAATTTTCGGACTTGCCGATCAATAATAGAAACCGGAATCTCTTTGTAAGTCAATTTCTCATTTACCTCAATAGTCACAACCGGAACAATGAGTGTCGGATCTCCAACTACTTTCTTCAACATAGACACATGAAACACCGGGTATACTAATGACATCTCAGGTGGTAGTTCAAGCTTGTATTCTACCTCACCGATCCTCTGTCCGACATACCTCGAACTCAATTTCCCTTTCTTACCAAATCGCATTACACCCTTCATGGGAAAAACTTTCAAGAATACCCAATCATCTTCTTGGAACTCCAAATCTCTACGACGAACATCTGAATAGGATTTCTGACGACTCTAAGCAGTCTTCAACCGCTCCTTAATAATTTTAACTTTTTTCATAGCATGATGCACAAGGTCTGGCCCTATCAAACTTGCTTCCCCAATTTCGAACCGCCCAATGGGAGATCTACATCTCTTACCATATAAAGCCTCGAACGGTGCCATTTGAATGCTAGCATGATATCTATTGTTATATGCAAATTTTATGAGTGGTAAATGATCATCACAGCTACCTTTGTAGTCTATAACACAAGCACGCAACATATCCTCAAGCGTCTGAATAGTCCGCTCTGCCTGCCCGTCAGTCTGCGAGTGAAAGGCACTAAGATTCACCTATGTACCCAAACCTTGCTAAAATTTCTGCCAAAAATTAGCAGTGAATTGTGCCCCCCGATCAGAAATGATGGAAACTGGGGTGCCATGCAACCTGACTATTTCTTTGATATACAACCGAGCATACTGCTCCACTGTGTCGGTAGACTTAACCGGCAAAAAGTGTGCTGATTTCGTGAGTCGATCTACAATCACCCAAATTGAGTCAAACTTGCGCGGAGTGCACGGTAATCCTACCACAAAGTCCATATTAATCATTTTCCACTTCCACATTGGAATTTCTATGTTCTATGCTAACCCACCGGGCCTTTGGTGTTCGGCTTTCACTTGCTGACAATTTGGACATCTTGCCACAAAATCCGCCACATTCCTCTTCATATCATTCCACCAATAGACTTCCTTAAGATCATGATACATTTTCGTAGAACCTGGGTGCACGGAATACCTAGAAGTGTGAGCTTCAGTCATAATTCTTTCCTAGAGACCATACACATTTGGAAGTTGGAACACAGAGTCGCCCTTGGTACCTTAGTATACCATCATCCATTCCAAGAGAAAAGACTATGGTCTTATGTTTATGAATCTTTCAACTGCACTAACAATGGATCGTTGTATTGCTTCTCTTTGACTTCCATAACAAGCGATGATTCAGCCCTATTTTGCACAATTACCCCTCCTTCACTAGAGTCCGCAAAAACTCCCAAACTAGCCAATCGGTAAAATTCCTTGGCTAATGGACTCTGATATGCCTCCAAGTGAGCCAAACTACCCATAGATTTCCGGCTAAGAGCATCAGCCACAATATTAGCCTTTCCCGGATGATATAGAATATCAATGCCGTAGTCCTTGAGTAACTCAAGCCATCTTCTCTGCCTCAGATTCAATTCATTCTGCTTGAAAATATATTAAAAGCTCTTATGGTCCGTGAATATATCAACATGGACCCCATATAAATAATGACGCCAAATTTTCAATACAAATACCACTGCCGCAACTCCTAAATCATGTATTGGATAGTTCTTCTCATGATTCTTTAGTTGCCTAGAAGCATAAGCTATCACCTTCCCATGTTGCATTAATACACACCCAAGCCCGATTCTTAAAGCATCACAATATACCACAAATTTATCTATACCCTCTGGTAGAGTTAACACCGGAGCCGTAGTCAATCTTGCTTTCAATTCCTGGAAACTCTTTTCACAAGCATCTGAACATTAGAACTTAATTGTCTTCTGCGTCAATTTAGTCAATGGAGAGACAAGAGTAGAAAACCCCTCCACAAACTTTCTGTAATATCCAGCTAAGCCTAAGAAACTGCGAATCTCTGTTGGAGTTGTAGGCCTCGGCCAATTCTTCACAGCCGCAATTTTTTGAGGATCAACATTAATCCCCTCACTAGAGACAACATGACCCAAGAATGTGACAAACTCGAGCCAAAATTCGCATTTCAAAAATTTTGCATACAACTGGCGTTGATACAGAGTCTGCAACACTACCCTGAGGTAACCGGCATGGTCCTCTCGATTGCGTGAATATACAAGAATATCGTCAATAAACACTATCATAAAAGAATCGAGGAATGGCTTGAAAACGCGATTCATAAGATCCATGAAGGCTGCTGGGGCATTTGTTAGCCCAAAAGACATCACTAGAAATTTAAAATGCCCATATCGGGATCTAAAAGTTATTTTCGGAATATCCCGCTCCCTGATCTTCAATTGGTGATACCGGATCTTAAATCAATCTTGGAGAAGTACCTAGCACCTTGCAATTGATCAAACAAATCATCTATCCTTGACAGTGGGTACTTATTCTTGATTGTGACCTTATTAAGTTGCCGATAGTCAATACACATTCTCAGTGACCCATCTTTCTTTCTTACAAAAAGGACTGGTGCGCCCCAAGGCGACACACTTGGTCGGATAAAACCCTTTTCTAACAAATTTCTCAACTGTTCTTTTAGCTCCTTCAATTCTGTCGGTGCCATTCTGTAGGGTGGAATAGATATAGGATGCGTGTCTGGCATCACATCAATCCCAAAATCAATCTCCTTGTCTGGTGGAATCCCAGGGAGTTCATCCGAAAATACTCCCAAAAATTCATTCACAATAGGCACGGACTCAAGTGTAGGTGCTTCAGCATCGGTGTCCGTAACCCGGACCAAATGATAAATACATCCCTTGTTGATTATCTTTGTGGCCTTAAGGTAGGAAATAAACCTACCCTTTGGCACCATATCATCACCCTTCCACTCAATAACTGGCTCATTTGGAAATTCGAACCTAACAGTTCTGGTTCGGCAATCAAGTTGGCAAAACATGAATAAAGTCAATCCATCCCCATTATCACATCAAAATCAACCATTCTCAATTCAATAAGATCGGCCACGGTGTCTCGACCACGCAATGTGACAACACAATCTCTATAAACCCGCGCGGCCAAAATAGACTCACCAACCAGAGTAGATACAGAGAACGACTCATAAAGCTGTTCTGGTTCTATCCCAAATTCCATAGCAATATAAGGTGTGACATGACAAAGTGGAACCGAGATCAATAAGAGCATATACATCATGAGATTGACAGTCAATATACATGTGACAACATCTGGAGAAGCCTCTGATTCCTGACGTCTCCGCATAGCATAAAATCTGCTGGGTCCTCCCGAATTCTGTGCACCACCCCTAGCTGCACCACGCCCTGCGGGTGCTGGGGTGCCTCGAGCTGGAGGGGCTGTAGATGTAGTAGCTGCAGAATTAGCTGGCTGTGCCGCACCTCTGCCCATATTTCGGCGGGACGAGCGGCAATCTCTCTGAATGTGACTGAGTCGATTCTCTTGAGAAAGATTACACCGTACTCCCTTAAAATTGCAAATCCCACGTTGCTATAGTATTAAATAGCCTTCGTATGAAACATTTGAAGCTATTACGTTGCTATTTCAAATCAACATCTTTACCGAAGTTATCACGTTCCATTCCATTCTCTGTGTTTGTGAATTTGAGCATTATCCCCTTCAAAATATTAACACCAGCAATTTAGACATGATGTTGGAGAAGACATATATTCTAATAATAGATCATTCCTCAAGTAGAACCACTTTAACGACCACTAGTTTCCCATGTATGGATCTTTTGCCAAGAATAGAACAAAATGAATATCTCAAGAAGTAAGGAGTAAGCCCATCATCCTTCACCATGTGATCAGGGTTCGAATCACCCCAATGCGATACCCCCCTCCCCCCCTCTTAATAGTAAGTAATAAAATTTAAAAAGACAATGTAAGGAGTAAAAATGAGGAAGGAATTGTAGAATATTAGAGAGGAGTAGTTTCCAAGTGCAATAAAAGATTAAGACAGGTGAAACTTACAAGAAAGTTGAGATAGTCATATTGTCACAAGTTACACTAGGATGGATGTTAATAGTGGAAATCCAAAACCTTTGTTGAGACAGTCAAAAGTGCTTTCCTGGACATCCATTTGCTCTACCAGTGGCAAATCAAGATTAGATTTGAATGCCATTTCAATATTTTCCTGATTTAATTGACAATCCAGAAATATTTTATCCGCTGAACAATTTTCATATCCCGGCTTATAATTTTCAACTTCATGGTTGCAAGCAAGATCCGTACAGCTCTCGATCGATAAAGATGGATCATCCAAAAACCTTAAATCCAAAATCAAATGACATATTAGAGGGTAATAATTATCTATGTATATAATGATAAAGGTGGTGATAATGATACTGATGATGGTGAGTGGGGCACATGGATGGGAAATAGGAACAATAATACATTTGTCTAAACGTGGTGATGAAGAAATAAAAGATATCATTACTGCAATAGTACCAGTGCCATAAGTTTTCAAACGTATCTTGTTATAGTTGTCTTGCACGATATATGTGACATAACTATTATCAAACTAACGAGGACTATGAGGATTTGCAGCTTGAAGCTTGAAGCTTGATATAAAGGTAAACCCTTACCCTTGTACAAACAAATTTAGGTCCCCGTATCCATTAATACTTTCACTATCACCTCCGTTGACTGATGAAGATCGATGCAGCTCTTGCCCAGCATCAAAACTTACAGGTGAATTCATACTATAATGGCCAATTGATGATGAAGACTGAAATTCGTGCTCATCATCAAATTTTAAACATGAATCAAATGCATTAAGATCCTCGTAATCGTCCATATTTTCACTATCACCACCATTGACAGATAAGCCTGCATCGAGTTGGGTTGAAGATAAATTTATCCCATGCTTGATTGAGGAAGCAGTTGAAAACTCTTCTCCAGCATCAGAACTTGATGAATCCATCCCATACTGAAATGCAAAGAATGCTCCTTAAAACTTGTAGTATACACAGTATTTCAGAGTACTAAGATGTACCTATTAATTAATATTAATTTTTAGTTTCTATCATAATGGCAATAAAGGGGAACATTAAAACTTGCAGTTCACACAGTATTTTAGAGTACTAAGATGTACCTACTACTAATTAACAAATTATTAGTTTTTTTATTACAGTGGCATGAATGAGAATAACAAAAGATAATAATGGATATGCTGGAAATCTAACAGCCAGTGGTTGTACACTGTTGAGCAGTCATTTTCATTTATTAATTTTTTTATTATATACCCTAAGGATTCCAAGCTTTTAAATTTTTATCTACACCCCTTATCATCCCCAATCCTCTTATTTTCATAGGAGCTTCATATAACTCTATAAATGTTAAGATATAATCATATCAGAGGCACCTTTACGATTTTGTGCCAAATCCACTTTAACATTTGGAAATAGATTTCGTTGAAAAGTATTTGAATTTTTTACCAGAGGCACTTTAATGGAGTTTGCTAGTGAGTCACCCATTTTTCTAAGTTATTCATGATGTTAATTTTGTGAATATTCTTCTGAAATCTATAGTTCCCTAGATCGCAAGAGAAAAGGAATCACCATGCTATAAGTCAATGCTATATGACGATAGCCCGGTGCACTAAGCTCCCGCTATGCGCAGGGTCCGGGGAAGGGCCGGACCATAAGGGTCTATTGTACGCAGCCTTACCCTGCATTTCTGCAAGAGGCTGTTTCCACGGCTTGAACTCATGACCTCCTTGTCACATGGAAGCAACTTTACCAGTTACGCCAAGGCTCCCCTTCAAGTCAATGCTATATGCCGAGAGAAAATTGTGAAAAGGGAAAACAAACTTAGTTTTCCTTGGGTAAATAAAGCATATTAAGTTAGGTACAGAGAGAATTTGAGTCAACTTATTGTTGATCAATTTATGCTACATTTTTTATTGCGTCTGGTCAACTAACCTAATTAAATTATCAGAATGCAATATGATAAAATGGGATATTAATGAAAAACAGTAAGTTGCGGAAAAGGAAAACTAAGCATATTAAGTTAAGGGACAGAAAGAATTTGAGTCGGCTTACCATTGGTCAATTTATGCTACATTTTCACTGCGTCTGGTCAACTAACCTAATTTAAATTATCAGAATGCAATATGATATAATGGGATATTAATGAGAAGCAAAATCTTTTCTTTAATAGAGAGGATGCAAAATCTTTTCTTTGATAGAGAGGAGAAGTGTGTGATCTGTTAAATGTTTCTTCAGCTGCACGTCAAACATTGAATCACACAATGTACTCTTAAGGATTTTGAAAATACTACCAAATAAATCTTTCCACTAAAAATGCAGATGGTGGACAATGTCGGAATGCATCCTAGATTAATAAGTAAAATATATGCAACAAACTAAGCCAACAATTAGCTGACAGCTTTTCTGCAACTCATTGACCTTCCTCAAACGTCACTCAAATTGCTATGACCACATACACTAAATTATGCATCTTCCATCTCTGATCTCAGAAGGGTTACAGAGTTCTGAATATCATTTGTATTTTTGGCCATCAAATGTCATAGAAATGATCTCCATGTTTTGAGATACAAAAACGATCGCCGTGGTAGTAGGATGATGGAATTTAGCCTCGAAAGAATTCTCCACTCAAAATGTGAAGACAGTTCAGAGAAAATTGTATTCCTGGTAAAATATTACTTTGTTGTGTCATTCGTTTTCGTTACCCTATTACATTGCTGCTGCTATAGCTTGTTGCTTTATTTTTAATGTTCCTTGAGCAGAGGGTCAATCGAAAACAGTCTCTCTACCTTTTTAGGGTAGGGGTAAAGTCTACCTTCACACTACCTTCCCCATACCCCACTTATGGGATTAAACTGAGTTTGTTGTTGTTGTTGAAGTTTAGAGAAAATTTCCTCCTTAAGAGAGATAACCATCAGGAAAGAAAGCTTTATAGTTCAAGGCTTCCTTGATTGGTACTACTGGCTTGTCCATCTACTGGGTGGGACTATTCCAACATATTCGGTGCTACGCCCCTGTTATCCCGTCCTCGAGACTGAACTAAGTGGATCGGTGCTATGATATAAATCTGAATTGTAAGGTTTGATACAAAAGTTGATTGGAGGTTATATAATAATCTTGAGACTAATGTAGTTACAATCAGCAATTTAGACTTGATGCTGATGATAAATCGTAAGCATTCAAATAGTTCTCATATAGCTTCAATTCAGAATCTTTGGACAATGATAGAAAACAATCAATATTTTTTTTTCCAAAATGTAAAGAGTAATGAAATGCGAAAGGAGTGGTAAGAATATTAGAGATTTCGCTACATCATAAAGGTTAAAACTTACCAGAAAGTGTAGAGATTTGGCTAATATCATCTTTTCACAAGTACCAGATGCTGATTTTGAACTATCGTGGATGTTAACAAGATCAGAATGAGGAAGTCTGGAACCCTTGTTGATGTTATAGTCAAAAGCATTTCCCTGGTCATCCGTCTGTTCTAGTTGTGGCACATCAAAGGTAAATCCAAAATCTGTTACAATATCTTCCTGATTTACTTCACAATCTAGAAATATTTCATCAGGTACAAAATTTACGGATTCTGGCATAGAGACTTCAATTTCTTTGTTGCAAACAAGATTTGTGTAGCTCTCAAAAGAAAAAGATGATTCCTCCAAATACCTAGAGACCCCAAATCATTAAAATGTCAGAAGCTAATAATTACTTCTGCAGATAAAATAAAAACTATGATTACAGTACAAACAAGGAAGTATTGAGGGAGCATGGGAGAAGGAAGACGGGAGAAAAATATTGTGTTTTTATTAGACATAGTAATAAAGATATCACTGCCAATTAGATCATATATTAAAATCTTTTACTTAAAAAGGGACATGATAATTGGAAGTCTGAAGCACATAAAGGTGGTTCCTCACTCTAGTGGAAATGAATTTAAGTCCTCGTATACATCCATATTTTCACTATTACCACCGTGGACTGATGAACATTGATAGAGCTCTTGCCCCAAATTCATCCCATGCTGCATCAGTGAAGTAGTCTGGAAGTCTTGCCCAGTATCACAAAGTAAAGATGAATCGAATGAATTCATGCCTTCATTTACATCAATATTTTCACTATCACAAGCATGGACTGATGAACATGGATGGAGCTCTTTCCTAGCATCAAAGTTCAAAGGTGAATCCATCCCATGTCGGGCTGAAGAAGGCTGAAAATCTTGCCCAGCACCAAAAATTAATGAACCCATCCCACACTGCAAGCCAAACAGAGCTCATTACAATATTTTAATTTACAATAAACTGTAAAGCATAATTCTTTAACTCATCATTGCACGTTATATTTACCCATTAATTAACACTAATTATGAGCTTTAATTAAAATATGGAAAAATAAGAAAATCAAAAGATAAATAATGGATATGTTGGAAACATTACACCCAAGCACAATATTCTATAAGCAGCTCTTTTCATTTTGTTTATTTGTAGTTATAAACTGTTAATAAAGAAAGTAGCTTACGATCCACGGCAAGAGGATCAATATAACACCACGCTTCTATTATTTTAATAGAGACAACATATTACTCTAAGAAATGCCAGGGTATCACATAAATCAGATTTTTTTAATACTTTTATTTAAGAAAACAAAGTGAGTTTAAAAGGTTTAACCAAATATATATCCAACAATAGTACTCCCTTTAAGGCCCTTGAGGTCTTCATCGATTAAATTAACAATAATGAGTAAATTTGATCATTCATAATAAATGTGGTGATTGGCTACGCATAAGTTATTGAATGCCAGGTGAAGCAAGAATTAAGTATACCTTATGTTTCGCGATTTCGTTAAGAGATTTTGATATTGAGTTCTCCAATTTCCTAAGTTGTTGAATACTGTCAATCTTGTCAAGATTCTTCCATAGCCTACATATTCCAAAACAAAAAAGAAATGTCATATTATAGTTCTTAGAACTATCTCCATAGAAATAATAGTAAGTCAACAAGGCATATCAACCTAGGGACATGAGAGAAAAATCTGAATCAGCTAACTGTTGATTTATTCATGCAACACTTTCATTGCTTTTTTTTTTTTTTTGGTTTGGTCATACTGTACTGAATTATCTTAAACCTGATAACAAGGGATAATTCTCTTTTCTGGAAGAGAAAAAGGAGAATATGTAACCTTCTAAACATTCTTCAGCTACACATGAAACAAAGAATGAAACATATAAAGTTACTCGAAGGATTTGCAAAATACTGCCCAACTTAGTCTATCATTGTAAACTTAGCTGGTGGGAAATTTGGATATGCTTATGATAAACTCATAACTTACATATCTGCAGAAAAGCCAAAAAAATAGCTAGCAACTTTGCTATAATTTATTGGCCTTCCCCAAAACAGTATCTAACTTTACTTCCTAATTCCTACGACCACACACATGACACATTAGACTATGTATATTCCATTTCTAAGGTCACAAGTGTTCACAGAATCATTTGATTATCATTTGAATGTTTATCCAGCATATGTAATAGAAATGATCTCCATCTATTTATAAGACACAACCTCAATACTCAGTCAAACCTATGATGACGCAATGATTGGCAGTGCAATTGACAAAGGGATTTTGAATCAAAAAAGCAAGTTCTCCTCAAATGTGAAGTTGATTTAGAGAAAGTCTAATCTCTTATTCTTAAGGGAGATAAGTTCAGTCTTATGATATAAAATGTTCAAGAAAAGTTTGAAATAAATATTTTTCAGAAGTATTTATATAACAATTGTGGGACCAACACAGTAAAATCCATTCACTATCATGTGAAGTAATGAAATAAAAGTTCATTGAACCAACTCAGCCAACAAACTTTCTCATTTCTCACAAAGTGTGGTCAAATCAAAACTGCAAAAGGAGTAGGTCCTGGCCTCGTTAATCCACGTAAACTCGTAAAGTAGAGTCACAGCTTGATATCAGATAAACTCTTAAATGAGAATCATAAATGGAATAGTAGTATGTGAAGAATGAATGCCTACATAAGAGGACATGACAAAGCCACATGTCATTTAAATATATCCTAACAAAATGCTTTCTCAAACTGCATGTCAAGGCACTGTAAAATTAGGTCCTTGCCTTGACACCCTTCCCTAGCCTTTGTTCATTGTCACGAGCACATCAGTTATGTGTGCATCAATCTTACTCTACCAGTCAACATTTGCACCTTGTTTTTCTTTACTTCTTTCAAAGAAAATTTTTGTGCTATTCATGGGAGTTGAATTTAACTTAAAAGGTGCACTATACTAATACTGGTGAGTTACAATTTCATCTGATTTCTGTTAAAAATCTATAAACTTCCTTCCTCCCTGAACCATTGACCCAATCAAGAGTGGAAAAATCACTAGCTTTTTAATAGAACTGTGAAACTTTAAGCATTTGGTAAACCAACTTTTTAAGTATTCTGCCAGACATTATAAACTTCTGAGGCTTTATCTCCTATCTAAAATAGTTGTTCTTTGTAATAATTCAAGAACGAATAATACAACTTCTTAACACCTGCAGAAGAAAAATAACAGGGTTTTTCTTATAAAAATCACTAAATATATAACGAAACCAATCATAAGAGGCCTAATCTATGATTATGCTTTTATGTTTGTACTGGAAGATATCTTTTGAAAAAAATGAACAATGAAAGAGATCAAAGTTACCTGAGTCTACCCTCAATGTCTGAAAGTCGAATTCTTAATGACTGTGAGAGAAAATTGATATCCTACATTAAGCACAAGAAACTCAGTAAATCTAACTAGCATTGCTACCAATGGTAACAAATTTGATAATCATAGTGATATTTGTGATAAATAAAATTAATACCGCCGTTGTCAAATCCCTGAAAAAGAATGAGAAGAAATATTTTCAGTAGTAAAAAATGTCAACCTGATAGGCCTTGATTTCTTAAAAGATAGGTAAATATAACTACTTGGCAGTGAAATGAAACATACCCAGGACAAAGCTGCTCTCCTATGTCTACATCATGATCATACTTCTTGCAAGCTTTCTTTATTGTCTAAATGTTCAAAGCCAGAAAAATGCATCACTAGAAAAGCACCTTGAAAATTGAAATGCACATATGAACGGAAAGACATAAGGTTGACTTACATCGAGACACTCCATCTTCCTGCTTATCAAGTAAAAGAAGAGTTCAAAGAATTACTCTTAACGCATTCAATTATTTCATCAGCACAATTATTCATACAAATGTGTTATGTTACCTTTTTGCCCTTTCTTCTGGATTTACTTCGGCAAACTTGGTGGTAATCATGTCCTCAAAGCTACTGGAGGAAGAAGAATGCAGGGGATTTAAGATTTATCGATTGAAAGGCTTTTGCAAAAACTGGTCTCTAATGTTTGTCAGATTTAAAGACGCATAATAATTAAAATTAGCCTATTTTCATTCAGGTGGATGCCACAAAATACTTCATATCTCATAAATTGTAGACATGGATAAAGTGTCTTGGCATCAAAAAGTAACAATCACATTTCCTACAACAAAATAATTGACGCACTAATTTTCTCTCCAAAGACCTATAACATTAAGATATGGAAATTTAAGGCTTAATCTTGAGTTATCGTGGTGGGAAAAAAGTACCTGTTATCTGACTTGTATACACTAGGCTTTCCACCTGGTGAAAACATGGCAAGAAAGATGTCAATGTCACACAACACTGACAGCTCATTAGCTTTCTTCAAGAGTCCCTTCTTTCGCCTTGAGTATACTCCTATGCGGTTGCTACCATCCAACTTATGCAGTTTTAATTTTGCTCTCCCCATTCTGCATTTCCATCAGCACAGGTTCAATTCGTTGATGCCTATATCAAATGACTTTAAGAACATACACTCTAATAAATTGTGATTGGTGGTAATTGGTTAACACGTGATTCTTACCCCTATTTAACCAGTTTAGTAGTAGATACAATTTGGGAAAGCGAAATTATTTTGGTATACCAAGATTATCATGCATGTATAATCCAGGAAGTTTAGAAAATAATCATGCCACCATAACATGTACTTGTGCATTCTCTGCACTTTTCCAGATGCTATTAGAATAAACAACAGTAGGTGTACTGAATTCCAGGTGGTTAGCCAAAATATTTACCTCACATTTGATTCAAAAGCTAAGTGTTTGCTTTCCTTTAGAGTCCAATTTTCAAGAAATTCTATGAACAGTATCTATCTTACAAGATACCAGAAGATGAGGAGACCTGAGATAAAGTGCAGGAGAAGAAAACGACAATCAGAGTTAGATTTGTAACATTCTCCTACGATACAAGTAAGACATCACCAGAAAAAAAATATTATCTTCTTTGTACACAATTGAACTTTCTAATTGGATATAATCAATTAGAGGAGTGAAACCACTACCTTCTAAACTATCTACAATGAACTTGTATAGAACGTTTTGAGAGTATTAGCACAGAGACAACCAAAATCCTAACAAGTCCAACCATTTTCAGGTCAAAATAAAGGCATGTATGTAGAATTACAGTCAAAGCACTTTTACAAGGAAATGCAGTATCTTAAATAATAATCACGAAGAAGATGCTTCATTATGTCCGTGAAATTTCTATTGAAGCGGAAAAGTAAAAGAACTTCAAATTTATGTTGGCAAGATAAACAATTATCGACTTTACAAGCAGTAACGGAGTCATGAATTTTGACAAGGGGATTCAAAATAACCCAAAAATGGCACAACTAGGGTTTCAACACGTATTCTCTTATGTTAAGGGGATTCAAAATATTTATGTACAGAAAGGTTGTTTTAACTCTATTTACGCAGTACAATTTACCAATGAAGGGGATTCAATTGGATCCCTATTGTTGCATGTGGCTCCGCAACGGAGTGCTGGATAACCCATGAAAAGAATAAGAAGAGAATCATTTGCAAAACCTCAACCACATTACATAACCCCCTGCTTCTCTCATCACAATCGAACACAACCCACTATAACAAAAAGCTTTTATGAAGAACTGCTAGATGATGCAAGCAGAAGTTAAGGCAAAAAAAAAAAACACGAAGAAAAGAGTAATGTAGGGGAAGAAAGACACACATTCCCCTCTGAGATGTTAGCACACAAATTTTCAAGCTATATACAACTTTGCTGCAGGTACAAAAACTAATCGAGACCCATCCTAAAACATTTTCTTATGTAGAAGAAAATTTGGGGAAAGTAACTGCTTTTAGTTCAGTGTTTAAGTATAATGCCTGTGTGATCCAGGAAGTTAAGAAAATAATCAATCACCCTAAAATAACATTGCACATATGGAATCTCAGTGCTTACCTGCCAGCAGAATCCAAATTTCATATAATTATACAAGCAATGGGACTTTGTTAGTTAGCAATGCCAGCAGTATGGTCCTCGAAACAAAAGAAGCCAAAAACAAAATAATGAGTAAGACTTGTAAAATAATATACAACCATTGTTGAATCACATTTGTCGCATTTCCCAAAACGGAAACAGTATATTCTGAAAATATGTGCACTGGAGTTTAGAAAGTTATAACACCACACCACCAAAATAAAAGGTGACAATCATAGTGTTCATAATTATACAACGTTTAGAAGGAAAAGTATAATATAATAGGATTATAATTCCGTACCACTTTGATTATAGGCAGAGCCATTTAGATTTTGTAATATCTGTAGATTGAAAAACAAAAACAACAAGAACCGACAATTGAATAATTTCGATGTTGAAAGAGAATACATATAGGTACATGATAACGTACAAATAATGAAACATATTAGAGAAGACAATGAATTCTATACAAACCCCACCCACAAACCCAAACATGCATGACTCTATGAAGAAACAATGATACGATGATACCATATGCAAGAAAGACGTGATTCCAGCCTCAGAAATGTTGAGCCGACATATCTCCATGCCATTCCACCGCAAACTGTTGGCGACGAAACTCTGGTAGAGATGCAAAGAGAATTGGATTGAGGCCAAAAAGAGGAGGTTTATGATTTTATAAGGAAAGGAGATAGCTACAATTGTGCTGAGGCTTTCTCAAGAGAGGCTAATCTACGGTCATGGTAACCCGAAACGATTGAATCGGAGAAGCCGTTATACCGACCATTTTGTGGTGAGTTTCAAAATTCATCAAGTGCACCTTGAAAAGTTGACATTTGAATAGTCTAATAGAGTAGTAACAATTTCTAATTACACAACACCCACGCTACTATGACAGATTACAGCTATAATGATATTTTAAATAGAGAAATCATCGACAACCCTTAAAATTATCACTAATTTTATTTAGACATTCAAACTAAGAGTTAAAAGAGCACCCTAGTGCGCTAAAATCTCGCTATGAGCGGGTCTGGGAAAGAGCCGGACCACAAGGGTCTGTTGTCACAGCTTTACCCTGCATTCTGCAAGAGGCTATTTTCACGGTTCAAACCCGTAACCTCCTAATCACATGACAACAACCAATCATATTCAAACTAAGACAATTCTAATTAAACACCTAAATACCTGATAAAGTGTTCCCATCAGACACTTGATATTTTTATTTTTTTTGGTTATTTTGAAAAAAATAGCTCTTGATTTTTTCTTCTCTGACGGACCGTCTTTTGTTTAATGGAGCAGGTGACATTAACTTATCCACATAATGGGCGCTTCAGAACACGCATAGAAGTTTTTTAAAAGCTCTAAAATATTTAGTAGAAACACCTTATCATGTGTTTAGGTGCTTAATTGAAAAAGCTTCTAGTTCGAGTATTTAAATGAAATATACTGACAAGTTTAAGGGATTGTCAATGTATTCTGTCATTTTAAATCAAAGATTTAACTCATTCATAGATACAAGAACAATCCTAAGTAAATATAAGGGATAATTTTAAGTTTGGTTTCATAACACTAATATTTCTTGTGGTTTATGATATTTTTCAAATTTTGCGTTACAATTCTTTTAACCACTTATTTTTAATATAACCCAGAAATCTCTGTGCTTGGCCCCTTAAAAACCTATGCCGGCACACCCATTTTTCTCAAAAACCGACGAGTAACTAGTAAGATTTATTAACGCCTTTTAGAAACTATAAATGCATTGCTACTGTAGTAAATGTCACGACCCAAAACCACCAACCGATCGTGATGGCGCCTAACGCACTTGCTAGGCAAGCGAACATAACAATAACGAATCATAATAAAAGAAATGAAGAAAATATTATAAGTCTAAAGCCATCAACATAACATAAAAGTGTCGATACATAATAAATTTTCCGGAACTGGTAAATCCAAAGTCATGAGCTTCAAAATGAAAACACAAGTCTGAGATGCCAAATAACAATATTGTATGAATGAAAGATAACACTACAAAATGAAAAGAGGCGCCAAGGCTACGGTCGAGATGTAACTATACCTCGTCTCTCCGAAGATAACTCAGCAACAAGCCTCAGCTACTGGTGACTCAGTCCAATACCTAAATCAGCACAATTAAGTACAGAATGTAGTATGAGTAGATCTCATGTACCCAACAAGTATCATAACTAACCTCGATGAGGTAATAGAGATAAGAATTATAAATGATACTCGCTAATCACCTATACAATTCATAATTCCAACAAGTACAAATCAAAAAAATGATCCAGTCATGAATCACATATAGAAGCCACCTTGGAGCATAGAATAACTTAACGTACTCTGCTCAGTCAACAATCCAGCATATAAAGAAGATATGCAAACAAATCAGGTAAACCACTAAGGAAAATGCAAATAAAGATGAAATGCAATAACCAAATCAAACATCGGCTCGCTTTTCCTCAGAATCTCAATAACCGAACTAAACCACTTATCAATTTTCCTCAAACCACGTGTACAACATCAAGAAGAGATATGAAAGGGTGACCCTAGGAGGATGAATCCATATCCACACACTGCACGGACAACTCATGTGCTAATAATATCAATCACACAGACAACTCATTGCTAATAATATCAATCGCACGGACAACTCACATGCGAATAATATCAATCGCACGGACAACTCACGTGCTACACGAACAACTCTTTCATAATATTATCTCGGATCCACACGGACAACTCACGTGCTGCACTGACAACTCACGTGCTGAATATCACAATCCTCCCCGGCATGGTTGCATGCTCAATATCACAATCTATCCGGCGTAGTCACAGGCTCAATTATATCACAATCCGCCTGGCGTGGTCACACGCTCAATATCACAATCCGCCAGGCATGGTCACATGATCAATGATATCACAATCCACCTGACGTGGTCACAAGCTACCAGTCCAATCCATATCGCACATAAAGCAGATATACAAGAATACATGTACATTATCAATGAACATCAAATTTCACACTCTTAGACTGGTATAAGTGACACGCTAAGGTATATGCATGTGCAATGTGTGCTATCATAGCTCAACAGGTAAATACATCATGAAAGTAGCAATTATCAGATTTAATCAGGAGATTAACCTCTATGTAACCACAAACGTGTCTCAAATAGCTCACAACAGGGGTACAAATATAGGAAACATCACATCATTAAGCTTAGCAACCAATTCAAGGCATATCATAGCCTAAGCACTATCCCAACAACAACAACAACATACCCAGTATAATCCTACATAGTGGGGTCTCTACCGGTATGAATAATCTCTACCTAACCTACTACCCTAATCCTCGACCTCCACACCTTCCTATCAAGGGTCATGTCCTCGGTCAATACTACCCCAAGCATGAATAATACCCTGATGCACGCACATGGGCTCAACCCTACACTTGTGCGCTACCCATAGCACGTAGCTATCACAAATAACTCAGAAAACTAGTGCCTCAACAGAGTTTAGGTAAGATACTTACCTCGAGCAAGCTAAAATAGTACTATAAGAAGCCCTTCCCGCGTGAATCAACCTCCGAACAGCTTGAATCTAGCCAAAATAACTTACTATCATCAATTAAGTCATAGGAAATAATTTCATATGATAAAGCTAAAATCTTGAATCAATTATGCAAAGTAAACCCAAAAAGTCAACCCTACACCCGCACCCCAGAACCCGAAAATACTCACAAATTCCGAACACCCATTCCGATACGAGTCCAAATATATGTGTTTTATCTAATTCAACCTCAAATCGACCCGAAATAATCTAATCCACTCTCCAAATTCATAGTACAAAACCCCCAAATTCTACCTTTAATTCATATAAATTAGGCGTAATAATTTATGGGTAATCAATATCTGACATAAAAATCAAGTAAGGATTACTTGCCCCTTTAATTGTGATGAAACGCCCTCCAAAAATCACTTCCAACCGAGCTCCACAACTTCAAAATTGAGAAAATAACCAAACCCTTTGTCACGACCCAATTTTTCCTCTGTTTGGTATCGTGATGGCACCTAGATTTATGGACTAGGTAAGCCTAACATTAATTGAAATAACAACATTATTTAAATAACATCTAAAAATTTAAATAGAAATCTCTTACAATTTTCAAAACCGGTAGTACAAGTCATAAGCTCTACAGAGTGTTTTCTAGAAAATCTCTAAATACAACTGTCCAGAAATAGGTTCAAACAGTGCAAAACGAAAACTTGAAGGTGACTCCAAAGCTTGTGAATGCAGCAACATGTTTACCTTGAGTCTCCACAGTAACACTCCACACAGCTAGCTAACGAATAAGTACCTGGATCTGCACAAAAATGTGCAGAAGTGTAGAATGAGCACACCACAACGGTGTCCAGTAAGTATCAAGACTAACTTCGGTGGAGTAGTGACGAGGAACAGTCAAGACACCCACTGGTCTAATAAACTGAACAGGTATAATATATGAACAACAAAAGTATGATGTCTACATAAAGACTATGTACTCACTATACAGTAATGGCAATAAGGAAGGAAACAACAAGTATCAGCGGAATATCATGAAAATGATACAGACNAGGAATAACCACAGTAAAGAATGTTAGGCGTAAAGAGAACAACTCAACAAGGGAAAACTAATATATAGCAATGATCCCACAATATACATTTCAACAATAGGGAATCTAACACGAGTTAAATAATTCCAAATAAAACAAGTCGACTAAGATATAGGATATCTAAAACTTCTTTTAAGGTTGAGGAATTTCGAAGGATATTCAACAATTCAATTAAGGATAAGCAGCGAAAAGATAATCATAACCTCAATTAAGACTGAACAAATTATAGGATGAGATAATAATAATTCCGAATAAAAATAAGCAGTTATGAAAAGATAGCATGACAATAGAGGAGGTCAAATCTCCAGTTAAGTCAAATAAGAGTTAAATAGGCAATAAGAGTGAATCTTGAAAGCAATTAATTCTAATTAAAGCATGTAGAGGTGAAACTAGTAAATGGAACTTAATCATATCAAGAACAACTTCATACTCAGTGAATATAAGGACCTAAGGACTCTAAAAGGCCAACTTTCCACAAATAAGTCCGAGCATGCACTCGTCACCTCGCGTACACAGACTGCAGTCAACATAGAAGACTCAAATCCTAAGGAAAAAATCCCCCACACAAAGTTAGGCAAGATACTTACCTCGAACCAAGCTCAATCAGTCCGTAAGAATGCCCTTTTTTTAATTATCCGACTCCGAATTGTCCAAATCTAGCCAAACACAATTGCATATCATGAATACAACCATAATACACTCATCTAATTAATGAAATCAATACTTTAACAAAAATCCCGAAATTCACCCTAAAAAGTCGACCCAAGCCCACATCTCAGAATCGGGTAAAAATCACAAAATACGATCACCCATTCACTCACGAGTCCAACCATATAAGAATTACTCAAATCCGACCACAAATCCTCTTTCAAAACTCGAAATCTTTATTGAAGAAGTTCTTCCAATTGTTTTCCCAATTTCAACCCCCAAAATCCAAAATTAAAGAGGAAATTAATGATAGATTAGTGGAATATAACCAAAAACGAGTTAGAAATCATTACCCCAAACCTTCCTCTGAAAATCCCCCGAAAAATCCCCAAATTCCGAGCTCTCAAGTCCTAAAACGAAGAATGAAATCAAACCCTCGAATTTTTCTTTTCTGCCCAGGAGTGACCGCACCTGCAACATAATTAGCCGTATCTGCGCAACCGCAGGTGCGCATGTCCAACTGCACCTGCGCTTCCTCTCGCTTCTACGCCCCAAAATACGCTTCTGCAGAGCC